TTACTCTATGCCTTCTTAACTTCAATATCACCTCCTGTGATGATTCTCCAAAGTTGATATTGGATAGATTTGATGAACATCTCCATCTTGTCCTTCCATTATAGGTAGTCTTCTCGTTAAAGGTTGGAGGCCCTTTAAGAGAAACTCCTTCAGGTAGGTATTGACTTTCACTGCTTCTTTTTCTTAACCCCGTCAAAGGTTGAGCTCTGATACCAAACTATGAAGAAAAGAAAGATATTAGAAGGAGGGTTAAATAATTTCAATAAAAAAAACTCACTTTTTGAAATAAAGAAGTAGTATAATAACTTTAGAAGTTTAGACAAAGAGATAAGTAGAAAGAATACAAAGTATTTTTATACTGGTTCTTCTCAACCATCGAGACTATGTACAATTTTTTATCAAACCGATCAAGTTTTACTATCTTTTACAAACATACAAGTATTATTTTACAAGCCATTTTTGGCTCAACCCAAGTATTGTTTGAGTTGCCTCTTCAAGCAACTACCTAAGTATTTTTTTAACATGAAGAATCTCTAAGCTTCAAACAATCAAGTATTCTTTTACAGTCAAGTCTTTACTATGTATTCTTTTACAATCAAGCCTCTTCAAACTTAAAACAACCAAGTATTCTTTTACAGTCAAGTCTCTCTGAGCTTAAAGTAGTAACACTAAGTTAAATATTGTAAGATAATGTTGTTTTGTCTTACTATTAAGACGCGATACAACCAAATAAGTACAATGCTTATTGATTTAAAAAATGAATATAATTTTTACAATGTGTGTTCTCTCCGACATTTTTTTGGATCTTCAAGCTTCTTTTTATAAATGTTTCATTGAAGATGAGTTTTGCAAATCCTTAGGTAGCTCTTATAGGCTTGTTTGTCTATCTTCATCTTCGTTCTTTATGGAGAGAAGTGTTCGTTGGTGCATTAATTGCTTGCATTTAATATCTTTCACCAAATTGTCACTTTTTATTTGATCAAGAAAGTTACTTATCACATTTTAGGTACCAAAAGAGTGAAACCATGTGTGTGTCAAGTCAAAGTAGCTTTTTTTTTATGAATTCCATGATTTATGAGATCTGCTTGTCTTTTTCTAATGCATAGTATATCTTTTGTTCCTTTTGTTATTTGTGAGTATCAAATAAGCTTTTTCACTTCGATATGTTAAGAAATCATGTAAACAAAGATTGATTTAGTTATCAGACATCATAAATGATATAGATTTAAAACATATGTCTTACAAATGAAGTGTTTCGTTTGTTAGACTTAACATCAAGATAATTAATTATCCTATCAGATCATCTTATATCAATTTGTCTTATTGTTTGATTTGAAAACTTTTCTCTATAAAAATATCAATGTTTGTTATCATTAAAACTTTAGGCCTAAGAAGTCTAAGATCATCTTTTGACCCAACAAACCAATTTTGTTACTTGATAAACAAGTATAGCTTATCTAGACTAAACACTTTAAATGAATATCCTAATTATGTGATAAATCAATGAAAAGAAAGATAGGACCAACTTTAGAGCTCCTTCTGTTAAGTTTGACCATAATGAACTCGCTCATTCATAGTGGGCGAGTATGACAGAAGTATCTGCCTTATTGTAGTTACCAAGCATAATCCTAGGAATATGAAGGTAAAGGAAAGAATCTTAGCCATATCTCTCTATTCTCGTCCAACTTGGCCAAAACTATTTGATCTCTTTAGTAGCTACACAACTAGTGCACACACATAAAATTTATTGTTAACTAGTGAGAGTACTTATCACTTAAACATGAGAGTTTTAGTACTTATTGTAAGAGTTCACCAAAGAGCCTAAAGATGAGACTTAATTCAATCTATTTTCTACTTGCAGATTCTAGTGGTACCTAAGTTAAAAAAATATATGTTTGCCAAAAAAAAAATTAAAGAAATGAGCATAAATAAGTACATTAAAATGACATAAAATGAATCTCAATATTTTAAAAACAATAATTTTAATTTTGAGTTCAAGGATATTCTACATTTAAAAGAAGAAAAATTCGAAAATAATCCCACATTATATTAATTTATTTTTTTATTCATAAAAAAATTATAAAGATGCAAGAAAAATTGAATATAATTTCTTTCTTTCCTATTCTAACAACTTTCTTCTCACAATCATTAGATTAATGCTGGTGGTCATTATATTATATTATATCGTTTCATTTGCGATATAAAGAGGGCATCGTATACTAAACCCGAGACTTGTTACGAATTACAAGGTTCAACAACATTTATAATACTATTCTTACATAGCATTGATAGGAGAATCCCAGGCGCTTCGGACCTTACATACAATTACAAATTAACCAATGTGCAATGAATAACTATCGATATTGATTTTAGGATTATATTTCAATATGAATAATTTTAGTTAATTTTTTTAATGATTACATTTTAAAGAATTTTTAAATTTTTATATCTTTAATTTAAAATTAAATTTTAGTATTTAAAAATATTAATCGCTAAAAACAAAGTTGTATCGTAAGATAAATTATTTATTAGAAAACTAAAATATATTTTTAAACACTTAGTTATTTTTATATAATAAAAATAATGTATATATATTATCTACTTTATTCTTTAATTACTAGTTGTACATTTAACTATATAATTTCTTTTGATTTTACTTTTCCTTTATCAGTAACGTTATGTTTTAAATTAGTAGCTCTCCTCCTGCTAAAACAAAGACAAGGTAAATGTTATCAAGATTGTCAAATGGTAGAGGAGATTCAAAGCAAATTTGAGAGCAATTTTTTTGTTTTAGAGTGAGTTATATGTTGGGATTTTGTTTAGGTGGATCCACTTACGAGCTCAATCCTAAATTCTAAATTATAAATCTACAAGTTTAATCCAATTAACTAATTATATTTTAGTATTTTGAATTGAGTGATTAAGTATAATAAACATTTTTTTATTTAATTATATACTTGGCCTAAATTTAATATAATAATAATAATAAATATTAATTATCTAATATGCGTAACACATAAAATTAGAGACATATATATTATATTAGTAATCTAATATGTATTCGATCATATTACAAAAACTTGTTCGTGTGATAAATTAGTTAATATTTAAATTAGTAATATAATATTTATTTATCTCATATAACTCTCACTAGTGCCATGATATATGAGACATGTATCATATCACATGTCATTTAATTGTTATTTGTGTTTAATGTTTGAAATATGTATTAAAATTTAAACTAATTATGTGTTTTTATTTTTCAAAATTTTAAAATATATTAATATTTTATTTGATAATATTTCTCGTCTTTTTTGCTATCGACATATATGATAATTTTGCTTTATAAAATTTAATAATAATTAATCTTTTGTTAATGGACTTATAACTTGATCTTTAACTATCTTATCTATGGATCAACCTAAATGTGCTTTTAGCAATGATGGGTCCAAAATATTTCTTTAATTGGGGCAAAACAAAATAGTCTTAAAAAAATTAATAGAATAAAGTGATAAGTTAATATGTTTTTCTTTTTTATAAATTTTTTACCTTTATTCCAAAATAATTAAAATGTCATGGGGGATAAAACCTACATTTATTATGGGGCAAAAATTTGTTTTTATTGAACATAATTTAGTAAATGTAAAATCTCGTAGTTGTAGGGGGCAATTGCTCCATATTACTAAACGTGCATTCACCACTTGTTTTAAGTATATAAGTTTTTACTTTTTAGTCAAATATAATTGGTCTTTGTATTTATCATAATCGGGGAATTTCAACGAAGTTATTATATGATGTAGGAGCATCATATTTCTGACCCATCTTCAGTATTATTAACTCTTTTTTATAAATTAAAAATTTAGATTTCATGAAGATTAACAAATCATATATATATATTGTGCCAAAGGTATCTTATAATTCATCGCCATTTTCATCTCTTATCCTAATATCTAAAATTTTATAAAATAATAATAATAATAATAATAATAATAATAAAGTGAGTTAATTCATTTAAAGTGGAATGGAACAAAATAATCTATAATAAAAAAACCAGAGTGGGTTAAGTTGATAAACCAAAGAAAACATATTATAACTTACTTCATTTAATAGTGGATTCACATATTGATTTATTTTAATGAATTGGTAGATTAAAAATGATAGATTGACAAGTTGATCCACTCAAATTTAAAAAAGATAATTAATTAAAATATTTAAATATACATTATCACTTTAACATATAATTTTATTATTATTTGTAAACTTGATAAAGGAGTTGTAATTTTTCATGTAAAGGGCCAAAAGAACATGCATTTCTATTGAAAAAAGACATTATGCATGAACATGTACTAGTAAAAAATATGTGATTAAGACAACATACTTCTATTTTATATAAAATGAAAATAATTATAAAAAAAAAAAAGTTATGCTATAAAATAAAACATTGATTTAGTATAAATTTATTACAAAATTATCTTTTAAGAATATAATTAAAACTTAGACAAATCTAAAAAATAGATTAGTGAGTTAACTCACCTAATTGATAGATTCAATTCATCGAGTTAGAGAGTTAGGTTGGACAAGTTGAAAAAATTGGTAAATTTATTTATCTAATCTAACTCACCATAAATAATCAAATTGACAAATTTATTCTCCAAATTTAACCTACATTATTTCTAGGAAACAAAAAATTTATCTAAATATAAAAAGAAATACTATGAGCGAGCAAAACCATTGTTTTTATCATACGAAGACTTAGAATAACATCAATATAATATACATTTTAATATGAATATTATATAAGAAAAATATATTTACTTTTTTCCTTATATGAAAAAGAGATATAATTTTTTCCTATCAAATCGATCTCTTAGAAATAAAGTAATAGTTTCAGTAATAACTTGATATGAAAAAAAAAAAAAAAAAACTGACATAAAATTTATCATTTTTATTTTTGATAGTTTCACACTACTTGCTTTATATCTTTCCAGATATATACCATGGAAACTGAGATATCAATCCACGTTCGCGATTCATCCCTTCCCATTGAAGCCACCGAACTCAGACTAACGCACTCTTCTCACTTCTCACACCACATTAAACCCATTCTCCTTCTCTCTTTCACGCATCAAACTAACCCACTTTTCTACTCTTCTTCCTTCCACCAAAACTATGCACTAATTGCAACCCAATCCTCCGCAAACCGCAAAATTTCATTTTTCCCACTTAATGGGTAACTGCCTACGCTCGTCGGACAAGCTAACCGCCGAGATTCTGCCCCACGGCGGCGCCACCGTCTACCCCACCGTGCGCCTCCGCGGCTCCCCCAACAGCATTGTCGCCGCCTACACCCGCTTCGCGGTTCTCCACGACGCCGTCTCGTCCAACCCCGCTCCCGTCGCGCAACCTCCGCCGCCGCCTCCGCCGCGCACGGCGGCGCGTGGCGGAGGATCCGAGGCGGCGGTTCCGGTTGTGTTCCGCGTGGGGCCCCAGGCGGCGTCGGGCTCCCGCGACGCGCTGCTCCGGTTTATAGACTTGAAGTTTCCCGACCTGGCGGAGGAGGAGGAGGTGGCGGAGGCGGAGGTGGCGGCGGAGAGTGGCGGCGGCGGGAGGGAGGAGGAAACGGGGCCGTTGGTGGCGAGGGTGACGCGGCTGCAGCACAGGAGCATGACGTGGCACTTGGAGAGGGTTGTGAAGTGGGTGGAGGATCTGGCGACGCGTGGCGGAAGGAGGGCCGTTGATCCTAAGGTGGGGACTTGGAAGATGGAGGTGGCGAAATTCGGGAGGAGCTACTCTCAGCTGTTGGAGGTGATGTTGGAACATGCTCAAATGGAGGAGAGACTTCTCTTTCCTATCTTTGATAGAGCTGATCCTGGTACACAAATCTTTTGTTAACAATAAACAATATAACATTGTCATTGTTTTTGCAAGTTAGTTGATTTTGGTTTTACCAAGTGTTTTCCTAAATCTTTTCTTCATTGGTAAAATTAACTAACAATAAGGTAGTTTTTAATTTTTTTTGAGACAGGGTTGCATAGAATCATGGGAATTAAGTAAACTAAGGGGATCATGGTTTTGTCACGTGCTTTTGTTTGCTCTACATGATTTTGTTGAACCGTCGGATATCCCAGCAATGAATGTTAAATTAGAGATTATTTGGTTAATGTTTAATGGAAAAAGAAGATAGTGTAAAAGGGCGGTTTTGGCAGTTGAAACATACATTTTAGAAGTTAAGAGAAAGTAGTTTGCTTGTGTTTAAAGTTTTGTGATATTGAGGGCGAATGCAGGGCTGTGTAAAGCTGCAAAAGAGGAACATGCTAGGGACCTACCTATCATGAATGGCATCAAAGAAATTATTAAATCCGTTGAGGTTTTAGACTCACGCAGCCCTAATTACAGAGACACTTTGTACAACCTTTCTACTCGGCTCAAATCATTGCAGGTAATATATCCAACTCACAAATTATTATTTTCATTTGCACATTTTTTTTCTTCTCATTTTTATCATACAGTCTATCTTCATTTCATTTTTATCTTATACGTGCATGTTTGGTTTCACTTCCATGATATCAAAATCAATATAAATGTAACTAATTGTTAGTGAACCATGTCCAACTAAAAAATGGCGTGAAAGTAAACATGCTCTACATCAATTTGCATCTTGTGAATCAAGAGTTTGATATCTGAATTGGGTTCCCTTCACTTTTCTTGTTAACAGGTGCAATGCAAACAACATTTCATGGAAGAGGATTTGGAATTACTTCCAATGATGGAAGCAGTGGAGTTGAGCAAAGAGCAAGACGAGAGTGCACTAGAACAGTGTTTTGTTGTGATGCAAGGAACACATGGCCGGTTGTTAAAGTTCCTTCTTGAGGGGCTACCACCTCATGATGCTATGAAATACTTGGACTTGATCAGCATGTGTAGGGACAAAGAGAGAATGGAATCCATGCTTAAGATGGTTGTTGAGTATTGAGTATGTGTGATTATATATATATATATTCTTCATGGGTCCTATATCATGTGGCACACACAATGATGAATACTATGAAGCTTACATTGTGAATACAGATTATGTTTTCAAGATTGGGGACTCTTTTTTATGTCAGTTTTCTTTGTGAAACACCCAGCACAAGTGTAAGCTTTCAGACTTTCATCTCAAGCCTATCTGACACCATTTGGTCAATTAATGGAACAGGAAGCAGGGATGGTTCTTGACAAAGCATGGCATTTTCTTATTTTTATGTTTTCCCTTGCTTGTTTGAACAAGGCTGTTATGAATATATGTGCTCCTAAAGAATATTCATCCTTGTATTTGTACTTGAATTTATTCATAATGATAATAAGACTTCGGTGTTTTGATTAGTAGGAATTGAAAGTTTTTTTTGTTGGATACGTAGTAGTTTCCAATCCTTGATGCTAAATTTTTGTGCACGTAAATGAATAAAAAAGAGGCTAGAAATGATACATCAACTCATCAAGAAAGAAACTCGCAAATTAGGTTGAAAATTTTTTTGCCTGCATTGTAAAATATTTCAAATGGATGTCATTAACCCCGGTGAAGGTCCAAAATGTAGTGTATGAAAGATTTAGATTTTCTACTTGATAGTATATATACTCATGTGACATCCATCTATCCCAAGAATGAAACTAACTGAAACTCGTAAAAATTTGAATACATCTTCATAGAAATCACAAATAGAATAATCTAGTTCGTTGGAAGAATAAATAAAAAGAGTAGTAGTAGACAATTGTAGTTCAAAAAGACTCTAGCAACAAAAGAAGTAATAAAATTCCTAAATTACTCCACATTTTTGGTGTCATATTGGCATAAGAGTTTCACCAACACCTAGATTACTCCTTGTTCCTTTCAAGATTGGGGATCCTCATTCGCAAAACATACGACAGATACACCAAAATCAAACAGGGAGTGAGAATAATCTCACTCTATAGGGAATGGATTGCAACCCTCGGCATCCTATCTCTTCACGTAAAATAATATATTAATAACAACTGATACTTTGAAATATAATAATAACAATTCATACTTCAAACTGTAATAACAACATCAACCATCCACAAACACACACTCAAAGGTACAATGCAATGTGCACCTACATCTAAATGCATAAGGTACTCGACCATCATCATCATCAAGAATATACAATTGGTATCTAAGTCCCGAGTTAATCTTAAACTACTAACACAAAAGTATTCCCACTAGAACCACAAAAACAGGTTCCCACCATAACAACATAATCATGCAAATAAATTATACATGTCACCATTCACCACCATGCAAATGCTTTCATATTAATACATCACAATCATTGTTTAATTCATCGTCCACTGACATCTATATCCATCCACACCAAGGACATCAATCATGATAATAATCATCAATCATTAAGTATGCATATACATTCATCATCATATAACAATCACAAACATCATAAAAAAATCATTTAAAACATCACATTAAGCCTTTTGGCCATCCACACTGGGCTTAGAAACCCACGCTTGACCTTAAAATACAATAGAGAGCACCTACCTCTCTCGCGCCTGGCTTCCCCAGGCTAGACCTGGCTTTAAGCCACCACAAAGAGCACCAAAACCCCATCACGCCTGGCGTCACGCCTCGCATTCAACATTAAGCCACCACAAAGAGCACCATAGTCTTTTGCGCCCGGTGTGGACATCTCTATGCTCGACGCTAAGTCACAACAAAGAGCATCATAGTCTTTTCATGCCTGATGTGGACATCTCTACTCTCAGAGCCACAATAGAGAGCTCCATCCTCTCCTCGCACCTGACACGTTTAGGTAGTGCCTTCATGCACGCAAAGGCACGCCCGATGTCAAGCATTTAAGCTTGGCGCCGTGTGCGTTCCAACACCCAAACACACATATTAGAATTAATAATCTCAAAACAATTATCACCATAATCAATCTTACCACTTATAAGCACTTAGAATTTGTTTTACATCCAGAAAATTCTCCAATTTTAGAGTCTACAACTCTTTCTCCTTTAATTTTATCAAATTTCTCTCCTTAGGGTTCTAACTTTTTTCTACAGAGCATTCAATTAATTACTATAAGACATTTGATCATCAAATCAATCACATATTTGAAATCTACTTGACCAATTGCATCAAACGCACACATCATTTTATCAAACAGAAAACTTATGGGATTGAGGGTCAATCCCTCTACCCTTCATGCATACACCCGAATCCCAGAAATGAGTTTTCTCATTACCCCCTTACCTAGAGTAATGCAATGCAACATATGAGCCTAATCTTCTTCCTCTTTTTTGGTGATCCTTTCTCCTTGCTTTCTGAATGCGTTTTCTTCGGAGAACCCAAGTGTTAGAGAACCTGAAATAAAAAAAAATGAATAATAATTCTTCTCTCTTCCTCCTTTCTCTTCAAATATATGACTTCTATTTCTCTAAACCCCTCTTATCTTTATTGTTTTTTAATACTCCCCTGAATAATTAAATTTAATAATATACATAAAATAAAACAATCGTAAATCAAATAAAATCATTATTACTCCTCAAATCAATAATTAGAGAAAATTAAGGTGTTACAAGTAACCATCTAAACAAGTATCAGTTTGCAAGATCATAAAAGGCCTCAAAACATACATTATCATTACAAGTGTTCACAAAATTGAATCAACTAAAAATATTTGAAAACTAATAGGACATCATAAATTAGTGATTTGATTTAGTCTTTAAATTTTCAACATTGCGCAATTTGGTTTGAATTTTGGATTGAAATGTAAAATCACTCTAACTCTAAATCAAATTGGATTATACTTATTTATAAATATATTTTATTTTCAAATGTATAATCTAGATATATAAAATTAACACATAATATAAAAAGTGTTTTACAAAATTGTAAATTAATAAAAGGTGCTTTTCTCTCCAAATATACGTTAGAATATTTACAAGACATTTTATAAAATTGTAAAATATTAAATTGAATTTTAAAATAAAAATTAGAAATTATTTATAACAATTAAAAATAATTTTTAAATGACAAATTATATATATATATGAAAAAAATATTTAATATAATTAAAATTATATTAATTTTTTTTAATAATTTAAGATAAAATGGTATTAAATGTATTAAGTAGACGAAATATTTTATTATTTTGTATATTTTTAGTTGTATTTTTGACTTACGATCTTAAATAATAAAATTATATATTTTTAATTAAATTTTAAAAATCATAAAAATCGAACCAAATTAAATTAAAAAAATAATTTATTTAATTCAAAATTTATAATTCATTTAAATCAAATCAAATTAAATTTCAGTTAACTTTCTTATTTGATTTGGATGATGTTTAATGCAAAAATGGAATGAAATTACTTCATAAGCACTCTTAATTATTACATAGAGAGAAACGGACAGAAAAGGGCAAAAAATCAAAAATCAAAATCAAAATCAACAAGAGGAAACATTTCATTTAGGATTGATAGCAGAGTTTGCTAACATTTGATAAAATTCAAGGTAACAGATTGGAATTTTATTCAAGAGTGAATCGTTCAGTTTATTCTTTAAAATTGCAATAATCGGTCAAATTGACCCCTAAAAATAATATAATGACAAAATGGTCCCTGAAATTAACAAAATGATGCCAGAAATGATAAATTATCAATCTATTTAGTTACACCCCAAAACATGCATAATGAAAGAGAGATACTGAAGTTTTCTAATATCATTAGAAAAGGAAAAAGTAATTATTATTTCACTATTTTAGTAATTTTTATCTTCATGACGCCACAATCACATATATAGCATTATTGACTATCACTCGGTTACCGGTGTTTGATATACCATTTTTAAAAATTCTAATTTGAGGTCGAAAATGGTAGTTTTTGTATTTGATATATTATTTAAAAAATAGCATATTATAGTAAATATTATTTTTGAAAATGATTTGTACAGGTTTACCATGAATTTATTTTTATGAAGAGTTGAAAAATTAACTTTTTAAAATAAAAATAAAAATAAAACTTTAATATGATAAAACATCATGTTATTTTTATGTGTTTATTTAATGTAATAAAAATTTCTAATTGTTAAGTACTTCCTTTTAACCTATTTATAAGAAAAAAATGCTTAAAAATTTAAATTGAAATATAAGTAAATTTTAATTATATTAACTTTATTTAATATTTTTAATTCAAAAATACCTCTAAAATAATAAGTGAGAATACTATCTATAATAAATATAATTTAGAGTGTATATTTTATATGAAATTATTATATTAAATACATTCAACTACTTTCTTTAATTTGTGTGAATTGATTTATATATATATATATATATATATATGTTTAGAGGTTGTAACATTTATAAATATTTTTCAGAAATATTTATGACTAACCAAATAGATTTTCATGATTCATAATCTGAATTTCTAATTATCATCAATTATGATTCTCAAGTATTAAATAATTTATCATATACCAAACACTTTGTTAATGTGTTTCAAACAATAAATAACACGGACTAATAATGAAGGAATTAAATTAGGATATAATTTTAACAATTATATATATATATATATTAATTTCAAGAATCAATTTGTCTGACAATTACAATTTGAGAAATTAATCTGATCGTTAATTAAAAAAAACAAACTTCAAATACGATATTTTTGAAGTTTTATTAATTTTAGGAACTAATTTAATTTAATGGGCCATTACAACTTAAATGACTAAATTAGTGACACTGTTATCCTACTACTTTTTAATGAAAATAAATTTTGATGACACTTTTTTCTTTCTTAAATAGGTACATAGGGGCTAAGTATAATTTATGGTTTGAGAGCTCGTAGTCTAGGACGGTAGCACAAGGGTATTATAATGGGCGCACAATTTGGGACCATGATTTTAATTTTTTTTTTTTTTTGAAACATGAAAAAATGTGATATCCTTAAAACACTTTCGAAAAGAAGAGTGATGTTAAATATCTCATACAACAAAAATAATACATATATCGCTGGGCAGAAAAAAGTAAGGGACTATATTTATTTCTTAAGCTAATTTTTGAGGTTAAATTAAAATCAAAGCTAACTTATAAGATGGTATTAAAATTTAAGTTTAATACATTATTTCCTCTATGATTTTTTTTTTTTTTTGAAAATTTTAATCAGATTGTTAGACTAAAATATACTGTAATTAGATTTTTCATCTCTTTATATTTTTATGATTTAATTTCTAAGGTTAGAAATTCATTTAATGTTTGTGAAAATTTACAAAATATTTTTTATATTTTTATATTTAGACAATCACATTAAATTATTATTTTATATCATCATTTCATGTGTATCAAGTAAGGATAACATATAAAAACTCATACCTATATATATTCATGACTAAAAATTACTATAAATTATAAATCAATAATTAAATGGATATGTATTTAATAATGTGACAGAGACAGACAATAAGATATTTGTATCTACATTTTAAAAATATTTTTAATTATATATAATTAATTTAATTAATTTATTTTTTTATAAATATAAGTTATAAAATTATTTTTCAATAATAATATATGCTTTGAAGTTATTTCTTTTTAGTTTTACTTTATTATTTTACTTTTTTATTTAAGACTTTACATTTTAACAAATATTTATCAATATCTGCAAATATATAAAATATTCATTAATATATACTAAATAGATACATGCACTAAATAGGACAGGCGGAGGTTTACTATCCGTCCCATTGTCGTACTCTAATATATCATATTTTAATTTTTATTGGTTAATTTTTTTGTATACTCCCTAATCATAAGAATTATGGAATAATAGGGAATTTTTATGACTAGGGATTAAAACATGATATATGTATAGATGATGACATGAAATAAAAATTTAATGCAATTGTTTAAGTATAAATATAAAGAATATTTAATAAAATTACATATATTGTAAATAATTTTTTAATCCGTAGGGACTACATTAAAAACTATAAAAAGACAAAGGACCCAATTTCAATTTTTTAAAATATTTTATGGATCTAATTGAAAATTTCTTAAAAGTTTAAGAATAAAATGATGTATTTAACTTAAAATTAACCATATTGATTATTGTTAGAATATATATATTACTATACTACCCACAAATGTCAATTTTATGTTCTTTTGATGAGAAAATAAGATGGTGAGCTTATACCTCACCAAAGTATATGCAAATGAATCATCAAAGCAATATTAGTGAAACAAGGATATGAAACATTATTATTGATAGAATTAAATAGCAAATATCACAAGATGTTTATAGTTGCTCAAGTTTTTTTTTTTTTTTTCCAACTAAGTGATGAATGGCTAAAGAGAAGTTAATCAACACAACATACAAAAGGAGAAAGAGTTATTTAGAAATTTCACATGGACTGATCAAAGTGATGTATATAAGTAGAAATAAATTGTATCTAATAAATTAATTTTGTAAGAGGTATAATTAAGTTTAAATGATTTATCTTAGTTATTGGACCTATCCGTTATCAAACCATATATGTTTAATATTGCAAATTCATGCTCAAAATATTAGTTATTAATTTCTCATGGCAAAATTTGCCCCTCACTCATCATTGAACCATTACCAAACCAGCAAATGTTTACAAATTGACACTCAAAATATAGAGTTGCCAATAGTATTGTCCCCTATTTCAATTCACAATACAATTGAAGTCTACGTGTCTATCATGCAATAGTAAATTAAGATGAAGAATAATTTACTATTACTGTTGCAACTATAACATTTGGACCTAACCATGTGAAAGTGTATAGGAGCTTGAAGTCCATTAGTTCACCATCTATGAAGGGAAGACATACATGGACAAGTCAAGAAAAATCGAGACAATAGATTTGTGACATGGAATTAGTAATAATTGATCGGAGCCAAGTCTATTTTTAGACCAGTGAATTATAGCAATACTCGGTTAGCAAAAATTAGTATATAATCACATTTATTGATGATTTCTTAAGATTCGTGTCGTGTGGGTAGACTTCATAATAAGGAGAAATCAGAAGCTCAAGTCAAGTGAAGTTAGGTAATTAGGACCTAAATTTGATTCCTACATATCCGCAAACAGATAATATACTTCAATGGTGCATATCATTCATTTCGATTGAGTTGAGTGCATAAAAGTTGTTGCTTATGTCAAGTTAGTCAAACTTAAATTTATTTATGCACATGGAAATTGTGGGGGCGTTAAATAAGCGATGAATTATTTCCTAGTTTTTTTTTTTTTTTATGCTACGTACTTGTGCCAAATTAAGAATATAGCAAGTTTGATTTTTTTTAAAACATTACATTTGTAGGAAATATTTACGTTCGAAAATAATAACTAATTTTTTTTATTAGATATTATAAATATATATAAAGTGGATACTCCCTTTCTAATATAATTTATTTCATATGTATTATCAAAATTTACTACAAGAGAATTGTCATATAGTGACATATACCATATAATGACACTATACATATTACTAGAAATTACTTTTACTTACCCAATAAATACAATATATATTGATATATTGTTAAAAAATGTACGTATAAACTATAGTAACATATAAAATATGTTGTTAAATTTCATTCAAAATTAACATTAAAATTGTATGTAATTATATATTAAATAGATATATACCTCTATATATATATATATATATATATATATATATATATATATTACTTACAATGACACTTTTGTATGTCAATATATATATAATATTTCTTATAATAATTCAAATTGACTAATATTAGTATATAATAATTAGCGAGACCAATGTTGATATATAACAATTAGCAAGTTTGATAAAAGATATTGATGTATTTTTGTTGGTCATGTCAACGGAAAGGATAAAGATATTGTAAATATGGTGTTCGAGGAGATATCTTCAAAGTGGTTCCCACAAACATGTGCATGGATGAGAAAAAGTTGTCAACTCAAGAAATGGTTGAGCCTTCACCAAATCGAACTAGAGATCAACAAAATAATGAAAAAATATAATAAAAAAAATTGAGCTAACATGAATTCATGTTAAGTGCTGAGAAGAAGGAAAAATTATTAGGTAATTTATGTGTCTATAGTTTTGACTAACTATAATTTAATATGTATTTAAAAATTTTAATTTATAAGATAACAATCAATAATCACATTTAATTATATGTCTTTAAAGATTAGTTAAGAATTATGTGATTCAACATTTTTTTAGTAATTTCTCTAGAGAAAAAAAAGAGACAAATTAAATAAACGAATTGTATGAAGAAAGTTTCTCCTTTATAATTAAAGTGCAAGATAATTATAACATGTTAACGTAGTAATTAAACACTATATACTTTACATGTCATGGTGAGAGTTTATTTAATAACAAATCCATATTGAATTCATTTTACGTGTAAAAATTTATCAAAACAACGATATTTATGATATCACAAACGAATTAATTTATGACTTAGTGAGCTATAAAATATCCATGAGGATAAAAATAAAAAATAAAAAGCACGGAAGACAATACAAAATATGTCAATATAGTACTAATAGGAAATAACATATCAAAAAATAAAAGCTCGCAATAAGAAGATAAAAATAAAAATCATGTTAGAAAAATATCAATATCGAAGAATCACCGACTTTTTTTTTTTTTTTTTTTGGTGATGTGAGTAAATCAAACAAATTAACTTCACCTTGAGAAATTTTAGGAGAATTTTTATGGTACCTTTAATTATTGAAGGATTTTGGTACTGTTGATGATGTGTTGCTGATGTGTATTTATGTGTCTTTATTTAAAGTCCATGTCAGTTTTAATTTTTTATTTATTTAAAATCCACGTCAGTTATATGGTTAACTGAAGTTCATGTTTTAAAAAAAAAAATTCCATATCTTTCTAGCATCTTTCTCGCTTCCTGTTTCTTCCCTCTCTTCCTAGTTCTTTCTCGCCGATAATCTGGCCTTGCGGGCCGGCAAGCAAGACGTCGAAGGCGTAGAGCGCGATCGCCAGCGAGGCGTGGAGGAGGAGCGTGGCGGAGAGGGAGAGGACATCAAAGCGGCCGTGGAAAGTGACAGTGGCACCGGGGGTGACAGAGGGTTGACGAAGAGTGACGTTGGCGATAGTTCCCGAACTGGACAGGACGCATAGGCCCATGTTCTTTCTATGGCTGAATCGGGCCAGGGCCTCGACCACGTCGCTCCCGCCCGAGATTTCTAAAATAAAAGGGGTCATAGCGAGCTCGGGCTCCCGGGTTATAACGAGCGGCAGTTTGGGCTTGTTTTTGGAGCCGGGAGGGCAGCCCCTGGGGCGCATGACAATTTGTTCTCACTCGCTCAGGGTACGTCCACAAATTCTATTTTCATTTTTCCTGTATATCTTCACGGAGCGAGAAAGACGCCAGAAAGATACGAAAAAAAAAATTTAAAAGGTGAATTTCAAGTAACCATTTAACTAATGTGAATTTTAAATAAATAAAAAATAAAAAATGATATGGACTTTAAATAATAACACATAAATACATAAAAGTTACACATCATCAACAATACCAAAATCCTTCTTATATAGAGGGTTCAGTAGTTTACTCTACTCTCACAAATATTTAAAATTTTGCTTATAAATAAGCTACCATTTGTGGGAGCTTATAACAACACTTTGAACGAAGTTTTGGCGAAATAGTTTTCTTCAGTTTCTGGTTAAGTGGGTGAGTGAGTTATATTGTAATTGTCTACCCCAATGTTCTACAGGTCCATTATCTAACGTCGAGTAACATCATTTTGATTAAGACCGCAAGGTGTTCCACACCTAAAAATTATCATGCAAGCATTAATTCCTGACCAAAGCATTGTCTTTAATTAATAGATTTTGACTGTGATGATAACATTTATTTTGCTGAGTCAGACACAGTTCGTAACTATGAAACTTTCTTGCCAAATCCGTGCATAAAACATATATAACATATACAAATAAACTAGTGTTATAGCTGCATGTATATTAAATTAATTGAATGATTCAAAATATTTTTAGTCACAATTTTTTTTCAGATTTTGTTTTTAGTCTTTGAATAAATTTTATTTAGTTTTAGTTCTTGAAAATTTTCTTCATAAACAAAAAGATTTGACATCAGGGACCAAAATACTAATAGGGAAAAAAATTTTAAGAACTAAAAGTAAAAATCAGTAAAAATATAGGGACAAATTAGGAAAAATAAATTTGTTGAAGGAGAACTATAAATAAAAATCAACAAAAATTTAAAAACTAAGAACATATATAATCTTACATCACAAATTTATATATATATATATATATATATATATATATATATATATATATATAGTAACATAAAAAAGTGTCACTATAAATATAAAATATGTAGATATAAATCTATTTAATATATATTTACATACAATTTTAATGATTTTTTGAATAAGATTCAATAACATATATCATGTCGTTATAACTTATACCTTCAATTTTTAACAATTATGAGAATATATTTATTGACATATACAACATATAGTCTAAGTAAAAATATATTTTGTTATAAGCATTGTGTTACTATAGATTGTATGTCATTATAAGACAAATTTTTTTTAGAGTATTACAATAGTTTGTGCCTTATTAGAGTATCCCTCAAATGCTCAAAAAAGAGAGAAAAGACGAGAACAAACATGGGATTGCATCGCTTGAATATAGGAAGTAGCTTGAACGTGTTGCCTAAATGGAGGCAATGGCTAAGCGAACCTGGTCGCTTGTATGGAGGAAGTTGAAACAAAAGGTGATAGTGCATTTGGAACACTTTTCAATGCCTTAATTTGGGATGATTTGGAATTTAATAGTGTAAATAATTGATATATTAGATATGATTTGTATAAGAAGGTTTAATTATTATGATTGTAAATTCTTATTAATTTTTGCAATTTGACACACTTTTATACTCTATTCTTGTGCAGGCCATATTCGGAGATCCTAACATTGAATTTGGACATTGTTAGTGTTTCTGGAAAGATAAGAGAGATTTCTACAACTTCTTTATTGGTAGCAAAGGCCCATTTGGATGTTAAGTGGGTCAAAATTGCATTGTAATGTTGCGACCCTGCACAATTTTTTTTTAGAATGTAATGTTAGGATTTATTTAGTAATGTAATTAGTTGATTTAGTGAGGCAAACCTTGTAAATATTCTAATTAGGCTCACTATATTTCTTTATTAATAAGTGTTGTAAGACTTGTTATGTACATTTTACACTCATTTTTTAGATTTTAGAGTTTTTTCTTCTATAAGTTTCTCTAAATTCTCTCTCTCTCTTGGAATTTTCTCTTTATGTTTTTCTACACAAAGGAACTACAATATCTTGATAAAAATGTGTGGCTAATTCATTCATTCGATTCGAGGTTTCATGAATTACGATAAAATTTGAGTTCCCGATCTATTTTTATCATACAAATTTTCTTCGTCTTCTTCTCCGTTCTACATCTATTTTTATTCTTCATGATTATAAATTTTATTTTAATAGATCCAAATCATATTTGAAGATTAATTTTGAATCTAGATCTAAATTTAGATCAAGACCTAAAATAACCTAAATTGTCTAAATCAATTGTTCATCGTTCTTGAATTTCATAGAAATTGTGAGATCACGATTGCATTTCATTTTTTTTTTATGAAATTCAATAGATCTAGATTTAGATCTACATTTATATTACGTTCATGTTGATTTAGGTTGATTGAATTTCGGTTATAATTTGAATCGTCAAAATTTTACCATAACGATTGAAATCTTGAATTAAAGTAATTTTCAATTGAATTTCCCATTTAATTTTTTTTGTTTGCATTTGTAATGTTCTAAATTCTCTTTGTTATTCATAAAAATATTCTTTCTAATTGCATGATAATTTTGGATCATATTGACTTTTATCTTTGAGAAGAATGATCTAATTTGTTTTCTTATACTACAAATCTTTGGTGAAAATCTAGTAATTTTTTATAGTGATTCGATAATGCTATAAAAATGGTGTCATTGCCATGGACACAAGTCATTGTGTCTTAATTTTATCACGTCTACTAACTGTTTGTGAAATTGCTTTTGTATATACTAACTTTGATACTAACCATTTTTGTTGAGTTTTGTGATTTTGTGTAATAGTTGCTCAAAAACACTTTTTAGAGTTTTTCGCTTTGTGCTAGTATTGCATAATGTGGTTAAGAGTAAACACAAACCTATACACTAGAGAGTTGAGAGTAAACACTATCTGGAGAGGATTTTATCATTTTTGGATCATTCTTTAATTTAACATGTCCTCTTACTTGCTTTAAATGTGAAAAATGTGTTCATAGATTATTGTTAAGCCTTGATGCTTTGAATGTTTGTATTATTTCCCTTTTTTATACATTTGTGATTCATTGAAAAGTGTTAAAAACATTGTTCATAGATTTATTATTAGTTTTAGGTTGAAAATTGAGTTTTTCCCCAGAGTGCAAAAGATTAAGTGTGAGAGTATTTGATAGTGCATTTGGGACGCATATTTCAATGCCTTGATTTTGGATGATTTGGCATTTAATAATGTAAATAATTGATATTTAGATGTGATTTGTATTAGTGAGTTTAGTTGGCGATGATTGTAAATTCTTATTAATTTTCACAATTTAACCCACTTTTACACTATTCTTGTGTAGGCCACATCTGGACCTCTTGACATTGAATTTGGACGTTCTTGGTATTCTTTGCCGGGAGTAAAGGCCAATTTGAACGCTAAGTGGTTCAAAAATGCATTGCAATGTTGTGGCCCAACATAATATTTTTATTTTTATTTTAGAATATAATGTTAGGATTTATTTAGTGATGTAATTAGTTGATTTAGTGAGTCAGGATTTGTAAATATTTTGATTAGGCCCACTATATTTTTATATTAATAGGTGTTGTAAGACTTATTATATACACTTTACACTCATTTTTTAGATTTTAGACTTGCTTCTTCTATAAGTTTTTCTAAATTCTTTCTCCCTCTCTCTCTCTCACACAATTTTCTCTTTACATTTTTCTACACGAAAGAACTGTAGCATCTTGATGAGGATGTGTGGCTAATTATCCATTTATTTGATTTGAGGTTTCATGAATTATGGTAAAATTCAAGTTCTCGATCTATTTTTACCCTACGAATTCTCTTCATCTTCTTCTCTGTTCTAGATCTATTCTCCATTCTTCATGATTATGATATTTTCAATAGATCTTGATCAAATTTGAAGATTAATTTAGAATCTAGATCTATATTTAAATCTAAACCTAAAATAACCTAAATCAATCATTAACCATTCTTGAATTTTGCAAAAATTGTGAGATCGCGATTGTATTTTATGAAATTCAGATCTAGGTTTAGATCTAAATTTAGATTTTGCTGGTGTTGATTTAGGTTGATTAAATTTGGATTACAATTTGAACCGTGAAAATTTTACCATAACGATTGAAATTTTGAATCAATATAATTTTGATTGAATTTTTTGTTTCTGTTTGTAATATTCTAAATTCTCTATGTTGTTCATAAAAATCTCATTTCTAATTGCGTGATAATTTTGGATCTTATTGACTTGTATCTTCGAGAAGAATGACTTAGATTGTTCCCTATATTACAAATCTTTGAGAGAAAATCTAATAATTTTTTATAGTGATTTGAAAATGCTATCAAATGGACAACAAAGATGAATATGATGAATAGTGATAAAGAGCACAAACTAAATTCGTGCTCCTAGTATCCTAATAAGAACACTTTCTATGATGAATGTTGATTCACTCATCATAAAATGTATTTTACTATGTTCAATAAATCAACATCAGTCATAAAAAGATTGGAGTCAAATTTTGATCAACGCATTTTTTACGAATATTGACTTACCCGTCATAGAAAGAACATTTTATGTAAGGTAAGTCAACATCTACCATAGACAGTTTTGACATATTTATAAGTATTGTGCCACTTTCTATGTCGTGTGGATAATACTCAACATAGAAAGTGCATCAATAAATTATTTTTGCACTAGTGTTATATGTGTGAAGATTATAAGATAACCTATTGATTTAACGCTAACTACAAAGCTTAAACACACACAAAGCAGAACAAACAATACAAGTTGCACTGTTTTCGAAAAGGCTCGTTATATGCACATTTATACACATTTGCAATAACCAAAATTCTAGAGTTTCAACTTAATCTTGATCAACACCTTTTTTTAGTACAACTTAAATATGTTTTTAGTCTTGCAAAATGAACAAGTTTTTATTTTAGTCCCTATAATTTTTTTCTTTGTTTTTCATCCGTCAAA